CCTCGCCCCCCCCAATTCAGGTTTACCTTTTAAATTTAAAAGCCCTTTATTTGCCAAAAAAAGAAGAAAACACAAAAACACAATGATAAAACCACGCCAGCACAAAATGTTTCCCAGCTACTTTTACAAAGTCTGAGCACATTGTTAAATCCTGAGTTCCCAGGCCCCTCAGGTGGTGCCAGGGAGCTCAGAGGAGCACCAGGCAGCTCTGGTCACCTGCTCCTTCCAGCAGCTCTGCCCAGGTTCCATCCTGGCTGCACAGCCCCACATGCTGAGCTAAAGCTCCGTGCTCCAAACAGCCACACCATATCACACTGAAGCTTCAGTTCCCTCTTTTTTTATTTTGGCCTTTCAGGCACATTCTGCTGCAGGCACTAAGCACAGTACCCTGGTTAGAGTATCTCCAGCCAGCTGCTTCACTCCTTAGCTGAGGAGACAGGAATTGTTCTGCCCTCCTTGCCATTCTGAGCTGCCCCGGGGGTGGCAGGAGAGCAGCCCTGGCAGGGCTGGGGCTTTGACATCAACTGTCAGGGAGCAGCTACTGGTCAGGTTTTAGAAGAAGAAGAAAAATAAAAATGCAGGCAGTACCATTCCAACAGTAATTGTCTTGGGTGCATCAGAGCATATCACCCATCTTGGTACAGCAGGGACAGAACATGTGGGAACATAAAAACAAAAAGGAAGGGTTTTGCAAGGACACAGGATTTAATTTTGAGAGACAAAAGCAGCCTGGAGAGAGCAAAGAAACACAAATGTTTTGGGTTTTTTGTGTTGTTTTTTTTTCCAATCATGCACAACTGAATTTTACTCACTTCTCTGCTTGCTTGTAAAGAAAAAGGAATCCAGCTCATGAGAGACTCAAGTCTGAGGTGGATTTACAATGAAAAACACATGCTCTGTCTTAAAGGTAACTCATGATTTTGAGGGGCAAGTAAGTCATGGTTTGTGATTGGGCAAGACTGGCAGCATTAGAGAGCTGGCTTTGGACACATTCTGCTTTTTGTGGAAAAAGTACCTGCTGTCTGTACCTGTAGTATCCAATAGTCTGACATCTATAGTCCATGTTAAGATGTGTAATTAGGGTTATTTTTCTTGTTACCTGCTTTATGGTGCCCGTTTATTAACTCACGTTCTCAGCCTCTCAAATTTACCAACAGGAATGTGTTCCCTTTTCTGTGAACATCTGAAGTGGCAGGGACAGCTGGAGATGGGAGGCGAAGTCAGAGCAAAGGGGACTCCTCCAAGTTCCCTGGGCTGTCATTCCTGGGTGGCTTCATTCCAGAGAGCCTGCTGACCTGGCTGGTGCTGCTGCAGCTGAGCAGGCTCTGCGTCTGTGCTCAAAAACATCCTTGTCCTCTTATGTTTTGACTGCCCCAGAAAGCAAAAGGTAAGGACAGGAGTTCCCCAATTTATCTTGCTTACACTCTGCAGATGTAGAAACCTTCCATCCAGAGGGGGTGTGAACTGGCCTGTCACAAACAGGGTGCAGAACACTCCCTGTGCTAATTAATCTCTGGCTGCTGAATTGTGGTTATTTTCAAATATATTAGAGTGAATGGATTTCTACTCCAGGAGTAAATAATAGAAGTTGCTGCAGAGTCTGTAACATGGTGCTGGCACTGGCTTCTGCAGCTGGTCCTTGTGTTCATGTACAAGCCAAAGCATTTGCTGTCAGTTGGTTTTGTTTTTGCCCCTGTGATCAGCTTGTTGTGCTGACCTGCTGTGAAGCATGGATGGGTTTGGGGGGCAAAAGGCTCAGCTGAGGAGCTATGAGCTTCTGTCTCAATTTGTTGAAGCCAAACTTTGAAAAGGTGGTATTTTTTTTTACCAGGCTCAGGACACTGCCTGCTTCAAAAAAGGCATCACCAGTTCAGGCAGACAGGCAGGGCTGGACTGACTTGAGAGTTACAACCCCACACTGCAAAAGAGAGATGAGCAGAAGGGTGACCCATCCTGAAGGTGGGTGATAGGAGCCAGCAGGACCCAGCCAGCCCAGAAGGGCCAAACCAGGGTGCCAGCCCTTCCCAGCCCCCCTGGCTGTGTCTGCAGCCCCACCTGGCTGGGCAGCAGGCTCTGGCTCAGCCTCTAGCTCTTTCCTGGTCACCCGCTCCATCCAGACTC